TTGAATACAATACACGAACTACAGTGGCTTGCTGAAACTCGTTCCTGAGGCCCCTAGCTGCTGGTGCGGTTTCTAAAGGCTACATTCTATTGATGTCAGTGTCTACTGTATCTGTAACCCTTTTTCGACCTTGGTCTGGTTTTATGGTGTATTCTCATGGTGTATCTGAGCAACATTTTACTAACCACAGATTGTGTGACCCTCATGACCTGTGCCAACTCAGTGTGGGTGCGGCCCTCCTGAAGGAGTGTGATGGCTCTGCAAACTTCAGTTTCAGTTAATTGGCTTTTAACAGCTTGCACACTCTTTGTAAAAGCCAATACTAACAATAACAACAACAAAAACCCATAAACCTATCATTAATCTATCAGTAAATACATTTCATAATCACTAAAACTAACCTTTTGTTTTGCAGAATTTGGGTCATTTCTCATAAAGGCCTATTATATAAGCAATCTTTAGTGCTCAAACTTGAAAACCGTAGATATGGTTAGCGTAATCTCCTACAATAAGCATGCTAAAAATGTTAATCTAAAAATTAAAAAAAATTTGCTTCATTATCCTTTAATTTTTGTGAGAAGTGTACGTTTGTGTCCCTTAAACATTCCTAAAGGCAATGGATTCAGGCTCAAGTTTTAAAGATGAATTTATTTCAAATATACATTATATTTTATAATATTTAATCAAATTCGTTATTTCTGACAACAAGCAAGTAAACCATATTAAGTGATTTCATACGGTACCTTTTTTATCGAAATAAATAAGACTAGTCGTGACCTAGAAGTTAACCTGCCGGGCTGCGGATTGAAGAGTATCAGACCCGTGCCGTGATGCCGCTATATATACTACATACTTTCAGCTGTGGGTGCGTTGTAAGTGTGACAGTCAATCCTATCATTCGGTTCAAAGTCAGGCAAAGCTTCTATGGCGGCGGCAGGTGCTACTGACTGGCTGTCTTCTCTCTGGTCAGCTATATCTGAACCCTATATATGACTTAGCTATTTAGCCCGATTACGTATAATGTACTGTTCGTGAGGAAAATATTAATATCTCTGTAACAATAAAATGTTATGTTTCTTATAATAAATTGAATACTTTTCAACAATAATGTGCTACACAAAATTGGTTTTATAAGAAGTTAAAGTATAGTCAACACTGGCAACAGCAGAACCCTGAAGAAAATAACACTTTCGTTAAGACATGGATGCAAAATTATAAACATCCTTATAAAAATATTAGCATTTACAAAATTAATGTAACTCTTAAGACTTTGACTGTTGAAAATTCAAGTTGAGATTTATACTGACGGAACTGATTGTCTTTTTCGTAAGCATTAGCAGGTGATACTAACTAAGCTATGATTGTTTGTCCAGTCTGATAGCTATATATGTATGAGTTAGATTTTATTTTTACACATATTAAAACGAAAGTAGGCTGATTACACGTGTAAATCGTTTTTTCTATCACGAATATGATGTTCTCAAATTTAAATTATTTTGTTCTAACTCTAAGTTTTATAATTAAATGAATCATTGATTTACATAATATAACGTTATTCTGGTTTATTTGCAGCTGAGTTAGTTTGTTTCATATAGAATTAAATACATTATTTCAACGATATTCTTTGAAGGTCACGGACCAGTTAGTGAAATGGATGTGTGAGGAGATGAAAAGGAAACACACAAAACAGAAACAAAAGAAAATTTGACAGGTTTGCTGATTGAACAAAGAGGACTTCCACGAATTACGATATCATCACTGTGGGTAGCCATAGTTCAAGGAATCTTATCCAATAAGAAACCATTGTGTAAACTTTGTTGCGATTCCAGAAACATACATTTCTCAGGCGTTGCTGGTGGTATAGAAATGGTTGCACAAACCCTCCCATGTGAAAAACGAGAATTCTCGAACACAAAAACTGCTAAAATTTACTATCTTTCCAAGAAACCAATACCAATCTAACCTCAGAGGAAACGAAAGCCTTGAAATTCTTGGAGAATTATAAGTGCATAGTCGTTTTCCCAGCTGATAAAAGTAATTCTACTTTTTCTTTGGGCAATGGGGGTTATTAAAGGAAATTACACCTCACACGGCTCGTATAATCTAATAAACTGGAGAGAGATCCAGCCATAGAGAGAGAAAAATCAGCAGGATTAAAAATCGTAAGCTGAAGAAAACCAAGGTCTTCTCAGAGGTTGCCCAAACATTAAGTGTAGCAGGAATCAAATCTTCTCAAATATAAGAATTCTCCAATACCCACAAACCAGAAATGCCACTCCGCCCTATCGTCAGAGCCATTCAGTCACCATGGTATGATATTGCTACATTCCTCGTTCTTATTCCATCATCACTAAGAAAAGACATTGACTACCGAGGCATCAACAAAGACAACTGGCATTCGAACTAAAAGGCTTTTAGATTCAATCCAACGATCCGTATTTTTTATGAACAAATAGAAGGTTTAGCAATTGGTTCCCCCTTATCATCTATATTCATTAATTTCTACAAGGAAAAATTTGAGCCCTTAGCCATCAAAACAACCACAAGAAGTCAAAGATGTGAAATCGCTACACGGACGATACCTTTGTGATTTAGCCACATGGTAAAGAACTTATTAATGACTTCTTGAATTACCTGAACTCGGTACATAACATCATCAAATGCTCCATCGAAATGAGAGAAAACACGAGCCTCCTATTCCTCTATGCCCTGATAATCACATATCAATAGCCTATCCACACGTACTTATCGGAAATAAACGCATACTGACAGGTATCTAAACTTAAAATCTAACAATCCAACAAGTAAAACTTTCATGCCTGTTCAACAGAGCTAAAAAGGTTTGCAATAATGAATACCTATCTGAAATATATAAACACCTCCAAATTATCTTTGAAGCCTATGGATACCCCCAAAAGATCAGCGTTCAAACATAAACAGACAATACCACAAGAAAACAGAAACAGAACTTCTAGCTAAAATCACCATTTGATTCTTCAAATAGGTTACAACGTCCAGAAAATATACAAGAAATTTGAAGTTCAAGTCAATTTGAAAACGAGACTGAAATTAAGAATCTTGTAAAAAATGTTAAACGGTCTTCAGAGTACCTAACTTCTAAAGGTGTTATATATAAAACTGAGTGTTCCTATGGATTATCTTATATAGGAGAAAGACACTTATTCGATGACAACGAACCCACTCTGAGACTAATAATGGTTGGAGACGGCTTGAATGGGTAATGAAGAAAAACTTTAATATAAGTTTAACATAACAGCAAATGTACAAATGTACCTGATGATGACAAAACCTTGTCGAAACGTTGTACATTTGCTGTTATGTTCAACTTATATTAAAGGTTTTCTTCACTACCCATTCAAGCCCTCTCCAACCAGTATTAGAAAGACACTTAGAACAAAGATTTAAAAACACTACAATGCAATAAGGTTAGTGACTCCCACTTCTTCTTCCGCTATCACTGAGCATGCATGGATACAGGCCACAGCGTAGGATACTGCGAAAGCAAAACAATTGATAAATGAAGTAACAAAATACTACAAACATAAAAGAAGCTCAACACACCAGAATTAGAACCACTACTTCCAACAGAGACTCAGGGACGAAGACCAACAATCTGTGGAATAAACTCATCAAAATTCGTCCAATCACCAAAAATGTTCATAAAAGCACTGAAACAATCAGAAAACACATCCGCTCGACCTATAAAGACAAGAGTACACAAGAGCTCTCCATCAAGAATGATATACAAGATAAAGACACAACAAAATCTACAAAACTATAGATCTGAAGAAAATATACGAAAGTGCATCGAAACGTCATCTCTACCAATAAAACATATTCCAAGTTCCTACAATACACTTTGTATACTTCCTCATTAACTCAGTAATTACTGTAAGATGCGTTCCTTGTGTCTTTAAAATGTAGCCTGAAATTCTAGATGAAGAAAACAGAACTCCAAATATCACAATTTTCTTTTTAACTTACAGCCTCGAATACAAACAATTTCAAAGAGTTCAACCATCATCCAAAAATTACCACGTTTATGAATACTTACTAATTTACACACAGAAGTTTTAACTCTCTCTTTATATATAGAGAGACAAGAGGAAGAAATATATTTTAGCATAAATGTAGCAATTAGATTTAAATATAGAGTACGATCGTGGTTTAAGTCGCTAAAGGATTGTTTGTTTGTTTTTGAAATTTCGCGCTAAAGCTAATACGAAGGGC